TCGGTGCGCGCGCGCGGGCGGCCGCGCGCCGTCCAGTCAGGCGTGAGCGACGAGGCGGCGCGTGAGGTCCGCGCGCCGCAGACCGGGGGACGTATTGGCGGGGAGGGGCGCAGATCAGACAGCGATACCTGGCGCTGAGTCTGGCGCTCACCACTGACGGACGACGTCATGCGCTGACTGGCCGGCGCTGCCAGCGGCCTGCAGGACTCGCGGGAAGTCTGGTCGACCGGTGGCAGAAGGTAGATGTGGTGAGAGGGCAGGAAGAGGGGGGGGGGGGGGGGCGGTGACAGGTCCCAATGCGCTCACCATGGTCGCTGTCAAAACAGTGGACCGGCTGGGGGCCGCAAAACACGCCAAGAATGCTGCGCCCGCTCACGCAAAAAGACCGCGTCTGATGACAACAGGCGGATAGAGGAGACGCAAATGGCGGAGTTTAGGCCGGCGAGCCGGCAGGCCGGCAGTGCTCACGCGGAAACGCCGGGCGATGTCGGCAGGGCGTGCTCAGACGTCGGGCTGGGAAGCGAAACCAACTGTGGCAGCCCAGAACACAAACCAGATATGATGACGAAGGCTGAGAAGGTCTGTGCATGTGGGCTTGATGGAGCGAAGGAAAACATTGAAATGCCTCTGCTTCTGCGGTCTTGAAAGTTCGATGGGGGAGCGAAATCACTTTAAGCATGTCAACTCCGTGTGACGCCAATGAAAGCTTGTGATTAGTCGGTTGTTCACAGACGGAACATTGCAAATTATGCTTCGTTTCCAGGATGATCCGTTCTCCTTCAAGCGGTGGACGTGTGTGGCTAAGCGTTTTGATGCAACTATGTCAGAGCTACTTTCATTAAAATAAAAAAATCACAAAAAGTGAGAAAATAAGCATGGATGGCGGAGCTCCGCAGTTTTAACAATTTTTCGAACAAACAAAAGGAGTCATCGCGAGCAATCATATTTTGACACTTTCCATGAGCAATATTCGCCATTTCCTGGTAAAAGTTTGGCATCCTTTTGCGGTTGGCATCATATCAACAGTGACTAGCAAATTAAGTGCAACCATGATAAACGCCAGGTGCTATACGCGGTCCAAGCTACCGAGAAGCTTTGCTGCAAAATATGTGCGGATATGTAGGCTCATTCCAATGTTTTGAAAGAAGTTCTGCTGTTTCTGTTACCTATGGCCAGTAACGGGCTTAAAACAAGCCTGCCCGCTACACTCAACGTATTTGTAAGCAATTTCGAGAACAAAATCAGACTACGCACTTTAAAAAGTAGGATGAGCTAAACTGTCTTCGATCTGTTTCAATCGAGTTAAAGGCGTCAATATTGAGCATTTTTTAGTATTTATAAGAAGGTTTGGGCCTGCCGGAAAGCCGGTATAGAATGAATAGTGAAGAAGCTGCATCCTGCTTAACCGATTCATTTGGCAGCTCTCTTCTGCGATGCGCTTCCTCCCGTAAAAAGTTTTGGTTTCAACATCAGCCCTTTTAGAGGAGGGTGCGCAGTGGAAACATTCACTACACCAGTGTATCGGTCATCGCATTATGCACGAAGACAAAGTGCAAAGGTGCTAATATTTCAGTTGGTCAGCATTTGCAAGAATTAAGAAAATTATCATCGTGTTCTGCCCCTTTAGGAAAAATAGAGCGAGGAGGTCTTTGGCACGCACACCACTTAAACGCCTCGAACTATTTGTTTAAAATGTGCCTTAATCCGTAGATTGATGGGGCCCAGCCGGAATTCCACATGCTCCCTGGACACGGGAAAAGGGGGGAGGGAAAACGCCGCCGCTCTACTGCATCCTAATATGTCTCCCACTGCCAGCGTCGATGCCATCCATGCGCAGATGATGACAGGGACTGAAGGTGCCATGGGCGGTGCATCCCCGCCACGCGCTCCAAAAATCGCCTCTTCGGCCGCGAGCCAAAGGCGCCTCAGCGGTAGCCCCTGTCATCCGATGACACCTCTGCTGGCATGCAGAAAACCAAGCACTTTGCAACACCGGCGGGCCATGGCAATCACTGCAGCTGCGCGGGCCCGGCGACCGAGCGGAGCGGCTCGTCGGTGGCTCAGAGACGCCGGCCGGCCGCCGGCCGTGGCGGCGCCGGCCCCGGCGCGGTCGGCAAACACGGCAGGCACCGGCCGGCGCCCATGGGCGGCTCGGCGTCGTCCTGGAGCGCTCACCGGCACCTGGCTGATGCTCGTGAGCGTCGCTGAGGAAGCTGGCCGTGTTGGCGGTGGCAGGACTCGGACAAATTCTCTGCTGAGCGCGAGGAGCTCGATCTCGATGTAATGTCCCCCTCACATCGAAATCAAATTAGTTTGTGTTAGTCTCTACACTCACCATAATCCGGCTGAATTGGGTCAGACTTAAACGGTGCTAATAGTAGAATATGATGACTAGCATTCTTACAAAAATGTGTATCGAACATATCTTATGATGAATTGGTGCACAACATTGTGCAACTAGTTTATTCTTCGTCTCTCTCTTCATGAGTTTGCGTCGGGACTTGCCATGATTCGGACTCCGTCTAGAGGGCAAAAGATTGAGAGCCCCTCAGTTTATTCTTCGTCTCTCTCTTCATGAGTTTGCGTCGGGACTTGCCATGATTCGGACTCCGTCTAGAGGGCAAAAGATTGAGAGCTCCTCAGTCTTCATCTGTTTCCGCAAGTACTGTCGACTGCTTTTTCTAGAGTATCGGAGCTAGCGCGAATGACACAGGATCAAAAGGTATAATGAGTTGAATGAATGCATTTGTCACTTTCCCTCCACCGTCTTAGCACAAACTATGATGCATTGTGAATAACGAACGTGGAGTAGGCCAATAGCCAACATATCAGAAGCCGTAACCAGGGACCTTACTGAACTTTGTGTCAAAATATTTTAGTTGAATGTCCAGGCATTTGAACACAAGCGCTCTTAAAGAAATTTGATTGGTCATATCGCGCTCAATTACCCATGACTAGCAAAGTTGATGAAGCATCGCGTCACTTTGCCATCAATATTTAGGGCACTTTTTCTTCAAATCCCATTTCGAAAAAAGTCATTTTCTCCGCAGAACATACATAAATTCGTGTAAGGCGGTGTAAATTTTCAGGAATAAACTGCATTACCCTCACTTGAACTTGAAATATTTCGATGATGATTATAAACATCTTGAAAAATATACTTGATTAGTTTCAGTTAAACTATCTTCACTGCCATATCGGTCAGCAGACTCCTCAATGTTCAAACGTCTTAAACCCCTAAGACATGGTTACAAGTTGTTCAAACTGGGCATTCAGATAAAGATTGATGCATCCTGTACCTTTTTACACAGTGTACTGGAACTTAAGATTAAGCCTTTGTGCATGTGCAGGAGACGTCTTTTAGTCGTTCACAACGCCCATGGTTTCCACAAATCATCGTAAAGTACAGACTGAACACAAGATCTCCTTGAAATGGAATGTAAGGGTTGGCTACTGGAATAACGAGATTCGTATCTTGATTGGATCTCAGCTACCTTGTACAATCCTTAATTGACCCGGTGTTTCCGATAACCAATCGTTTGCAAACAGAGAGATGTGAAACAGCCGAATTCGGTGAGCAGTTTAAACACTGCAACCGCAGACATAAAAATGACCCTTTGCATCGGCTAGAATACCTGCCTAATGGAACACGGCCCACCTGATGGACTTACCGACTAATAACATTGAAAATCGCCTTGTTGTTTTCAGCGAATGTCATAAAACGGTGACAGTGGGCTATAAATGTCAATTTAAAATGTCGTTCGGTCATCAATCATCTCCAGTGGTAAGCCGCTGCAGGCAGGCAACGACACCAGGCCGGGTGGCATTACACAGACACAGACCGGGCAGCGGCACTGGTTGTGCCTCGACATCCTGAGACATGCTGAACGGTCACACAGACATACTAGGCAGCCCCACGCAGACAGACTGATCAGCATGATACAGGGGCAGACGGGGCAACGCTGCACAGAGACAGACCGCTACGTTCGATTATATTCGTCAGGCAACACAAACTGGGCCGTGTCACACAACATAAACTAAACCCCTTTACGGCACATATGCGTTCTGCAAATCCCGGTGCATTCGATGTTTTGAGTATCATGGGAGCCAGGCTTTCGACTTCGGGAGTGTGCGGTGTGAGTCGGTCACTCCTGTGAGGGCAAACGATCGCTTCTAGCGGTCATAATCGGCGCCGTGAAAATCCAGGAGTCCAGTGCCTGCCACCGGTCCCATGCACTGAGAGCGCAGCTTCACGAAGTTTATAGAGAAAAGCAGGGATTTTAAAGACACAATGTGTTTTTTACTGCTGGAGTGCTTTTATAGATTTTTGCACGCTTGGGCATCACTTTAGGAAACACGAAGAGAGGCCAAGGCCCTAAGGTACAAAGTTCCACGCACCAGAACTGGCTCTAAACTGCTTTGGGGCTTCCGACGAGGAGGGGCTGCCGCGGTCCCGTCTTCTGCCGGTGATTCCACATACACCCACGCCAAAGCAATAACCCAGCTTAGAAGTCTTCAGAGATGGGGCAGTCCATTAAGACAAGAGTGTTTTAGCGATGAAACAAATACAAATGTTCATTCTTTGGCTATCTTTCCAGACGTTTCCATTCATTTTTTATCATCAATGCGTGAAGGATATCGACATGAAGACAACTTGAGAAAGCCACGAGACCAGAAGAGTCCGCTGGATTCCAAGCGACGCGTGACGCACCGAGGTCGATGAGTCACGCAGAAACCGAACAGGCACGGCGGAGTTCCCGGCCAGAGGGCCGTCGCCTCCGCGGGAACGGCGTGCGTCAGCTCGCACCGCTGACGAGCCTGGGGACCGTCGGCGAGGCAGGCCGTCCAGCATGGGCACCTGCCGGGCCACACCGGCCGCGCGGGGGGAGCGGGAAGCTCAGCAGCTGTCGCCGCCGCTGCCGCCAGCGACCGGCGCTGAGACGGGCTATCGGACAGATAGCCGTTCGCTTCGATAGCGTATCTGCGGCCGGTGCGCTCACCTGCGTCATCAGACGGTCGGCGCCGGTGCCCTCCTCGTCCTTGAAGATGACGTCCTCGCTGTAGTTTGGCACCAGCTCGCGGAAGCGCGGGTCCTGGCGCGTGATGGCACCCTCGGGTAGGCCGGACGCGCCCAGCGTGTTCTCGCTCACGTTCGGCACGTGCTGCTTGTACACGAGCGGCGTGAGCTTGCGCGGCGACCGGCGCCGGTAATGTCCGCGGCCGGGCGCGCAGGCGCGCGCGTCGGCCAGTAGCAGCCAGGTCAGCAGCAGCGGCCGCCAGGCCACCCGGCGGCGCATGGCGGCCAGCACGGCGGGGGCGCGCATCTCAGCCGGCCCTCGGCATCGTCGGCGTCGACGCCGCACCTGCCGGCACCTCCTGGCGGGGCGCGCGCGCGGCGCTCTGCCGTCGCGCGCAGACGCGGGCGGCCGTGGGATGGATGGTCGGCGTTCAGCGCGGCTGCAGCGCCATCAATCACCCGAGGATCAGCGCGCGCGGACGGTGGTAAATCAGCGCCGGACGGTGGAGCGGCCGCGCGGTCAGTTAACACTGCTGCGGCGGCCGGCCGGGCGCGCGCGCCGCGCCGGGGCCGGCCGGGCGGCGGCTGCGCGCGCGCCCATTGGTCGCCGACGACCGCGGCCAGCGGCTACCCGGCGAGGTGTCGGCCGGGCCGCCCGGCCGGCCGACCGCGATTAATTACAGCGCCGCGCCGGGCGGGCCGCGCCACTTAGGCCGCCGCACTGGCAATTTCCACAGCCGCTTTGTGAGACAAGAAAAAGTGACGCTATGCGCTCAGGGAGCTGGACAGAGCTCCCTGGGGTTTACGGGCCGCTGATGTGGGAGAATAGTGGCGCTTGGGGTGCGCTGAGAAAGGGTGTCGGTTTACGTGGCGAATGGAGACAAATTGGTTTGATTGGGCTGCATGAATCTAAAGGATCCTGCTGATTTGTCACAATCAGACGGGATTAGCAACGTACCAATTGGCCACTGTTGCAGGGTGGCCGGACACTTGAAGCCACTGCCACCCATCGCTGACTGACTTCGTGTGGTGACATGTTCATCGCCGGTGCATCAGCTTTCAGACCCGGCTTGCGGAAGGGCAACACTTCTGCGCTGTACTTATGTCAGTCTGAGACGAATCATGGAGATGAGTGAATGGAACATGGTTGATGAGGTATGCAAATGGGCAAAAGAAGTTCAATGTCGTCCTAGGCACTCATGCGACGTTTTTGATTGCTCCATTTCCATCGACGAAGCCCTGTCCGCGGGTTTGAATAAGTCATCTAAATACAGTGTTTTTTTTATGTTCTGCAAAAGCAGGCAAGCCACCCATTGTTTTCCACCCACCTCTTGTTCCGTTGTTACGTCGGGGCTGATATTTGATCAGCGTGAACTGGATTTCTTATTTATTTCAATTTAACCAGTTCTAGTTTTGTCACCCCAAGTCGACGCGGGATGGGCTTTAGTTCAAACAGATGCATGTATATATATATATATATATATATATATATATATATATATATATATATATATTAATTCATCATGCAATGGCTCGTGTCGGTCTGGAGCAGGCATCAAATATGATGAAGCAAGCCCACTTATAACTATTGGTTTGCCATTAAGTAAAGAAGACTGATCTAAACAACACAATTTCTCTTTTAAGTAAATGTGCTCCTCAACACATATCGCTTGACTGCGCCCTCGTGCCTTGCACAACATTAATTGAGAGCCAACTGACAGCCATTTTATCAGGAAATTGTGCTCACGAACGCCAGAAATGACCGATTCGACAATACTACTTGTATTGGCCTGGATCGCCGCATGACCAACAGGATGGCAGGATTTGAATTACGTTATAACAGCGTCATAGATGCCCAGGTGATCTTGAAATAGTCTGCACGAAACAGGCTGTACATCTTCGCTGGCGTGTAGGTCGGCAACTAGAGGGGCTTAGAAATTAAGAAGGACAGGGCTGTGAACCGCATCGAATGATCTCTAAAATGGCTACTGCAGTTCAAAACCCAATAAAATGTGGAACGCTCCCTTCAAATAACCTAAACGGGTAGAGTGATATGACCCACTGCGATAAAAATTCCAGCATAAAGCTTCACATGCAATGCAATACCTGATCTCATACACCTGATCCCATCCCATGGCTAACCTGTTCACTAACACTTTGTTGGCGCACATATCCACATGCATGGTCTTCTTGTTGTTTGCGACATTGTCAGCATTAACATGCACGTTGTTTCTGAAATCAAGATGCTTTTTTGTTTAACGATATGGAAAGTCGGACCTGTCACCTTTCGTCGTACCATCAGTCATTTCTTGACCCCGAATTGATTGCTTTGAAGCCTTGCAAAGCTCTACCAGTTTGCAGCTAGGCGAGCTGGAAACGCAAGCCCCTGGTCCTACCCTAATGACAGACCGATGGTATCGGTTGCCACTTACAGGTTGGGCGTGCGAACCGAGGCAGAGAGGTGCTGCTCACAGCTTGCTGCTAACGGCGCCGTCGACAATGCACCAGTTATGTAAGAGGGTGGCTTAAACGTGCCAACGGGCTGATGCTCGCGAAATGCTTTGCACTTATTACGTCTACAACGTCTTGGCGTGGGCGCCGAGCATGTGAAATCCATCCGGAGCAAGGTGAGACATGTGCCCATAAAAAGTAACCTGACCGGCGTGTGGTAAAATATGAGATGCATTGCCATGAGCGGCGCCATCGGCTTTTTCCAAAGAGGAAAACAGATATGGGATGCCGCTAGACAAATCTGGAGGTCTTCTTTTCCTCCCCCTATCCGAGACCGTCCCTCGGCTTTGTCCACGTTTTCAAAAGGGCGTATTTGTTGGACGCAACTGGATGCAAGTCTCCTGACCTGATGGCAACTCCAGTCTTCCTCATCCTGCCTTTATCTTGGGGTTAGGGTTTTTTTTTGTTTTTATTGGCCTCCTACGCATCGTATGACCTTTTTTGATCATTGCGGGCCTCTCATCAAGCGATAAGGACTGATGTTGCCAATCTAAAATGTTATGCAGGGTGGATGCTGTCTCCTACGTACCTCCTACGTGCCCCTTTCATTTAAAGGAATAGTAGGTATGGACATCTGGCGCCTCCTGCCGGCCTGATAGGCCTCCTGAGACTTCCAGGGAACATATGTTTTTTTTTTTCTCTTTGACAAGTAGGAACTGGGTGACTGTTCCTTTCGCGCCTCGCCCCACCCCTCACCTCTTGCCCTGGCGTCGCTTTCCCCCACGCTTAAGCCGTTCATAACACCAACAAAGCAAATAGACATTTGTTTACTCGTAGATTTGCTCGATATTTTAAGCGATGATTTGTACGTGTGCTCTAGTGTGTGGGATTGTTGGGGATATTACCGTTCTGTGCGCTCATTTCCCTTCCACCAACGGCTGAAACTTTAAGACACCCTAAGTTTCACTTAGCATTCTCACTCTCAAAGATATTGGAGACGTCAATCAAGTAAATTTGTGCCTGGATCGCTTGGGCGCAACGTCGTCTAAATCCAAAAGCGCAAAATCTGCGGAAATCGGGCGGGGGGGAGGCATGCGACATTTCGGGTTGAGGGAGTTTATTCTGTGATTGAGCTTACTAATGTTTTATTTCCTGGCATATGAACAGTTTATATAAGCTTAAATGTCACTTTAAGAGAAATTCCCATGTTTTCTAAAACTCAAAATAAAGTGTTAGGTACCCGAGGAAAATTTGCATTTCTGTCACAGATTAGACTTTTCATCCCACCTGTGCACTGAGACCACACGTCTGTGTCCACGCGTCTGTGCTAAAGTCCGCCTCACGAAACGCACAAAGATTTGCTCCCCATGTTCCAACTGCGATCAGGCCTGTGCAACTTGGAAACGGTAGCAGCTCTGTTTCCAGATGACCTGGCCAATCCCAGATACGCTTGAACTCAGTTCATTCCGGTGAGAACAACCAGTGTTTTTATCCCCTCTACCAGCTTGGACAAGCTCGTACATCACATATGTGTCGTGTCAAAACGCAGACAATATGAGTTCTTATGCTGAAACTAGCCGAAATACAATATGCCAAGTTGCATCGGCAAAACTCAGGGATCATCATCAATCATCGGGACATATCGTGAGATTCTATTGATCATTTATATGGCGTATAATGTGCTTCATAACTTTTTCCAGCTAATTTCTCTTCCGCAAATGAAAGCTGGCTGCGTTCATAATTCAAACTTGTGACCAAAAAAACAGTGGCTCGGGGCTTTCCTTGCGCATATTTGTAGCTTGATTTTCTGTGTGTTATATTTTCTTCGCATGCGAGTTGACTAAAAATACTTGAGCGTTATTCCCTCCCATTTTTTCATAGTGTTTCAGAAAATTCATGTCTCCCATCAGTCTAACGCCTGATATCATTAGAGCAACGCATGCTAGATGTTCGTTGCAGGAGTCATGACCTGCGGTTCGTCCTGTATCGGATGAGCCTAATATCCATTGGTTTCGACGAATAGTTTCGAAATTAAGCTCGGTGCAAACTCAGCAGGCAGCCTTATGGCGTCGATTTAATACTTCCAACACGAAGTCATGGTGTCCGCCTCCCTCCTGAGAGCAATACGTAACCGAAGAAAAATACTAGAAATTCGCATCCCCTACTGACAGCACAACCATGCATGGTGAAATTGCAACGGCACATTCGCTTCCAGCACGTAGTTAGTTTGGCGCCTTCATCTGCCATGGCAGCTGATAGCTGGCATCCTAAAAACACGTTAAAACGGGCGGATCCATGGACTGCGCAAGGCAGCATGCTACCGTTTACACGACCTACATGTTTTCCCAGAACGATCGCGGTTTTCTCTTCTATCAGAATCTGTTCGTCTCGTGTCATTGCGACGCCGTTTTTCAAATCTGAAGCCGGCTTCAACCCACGTTTTGGCGGCCTTTACGCAATTGGAAAATGCTACGTTTTCCACATCAATCAAATGGGAAGGAAATGGTGGAGATTTTGGGATACTGCAGTGAGAGCCCTCTTGATTAAACAATTTAGATGTACATGGCTGCACGTTTGCAAATCACAGCCCTCGAAGATCGCACTTGGTGTTCCTAAACACAGCTTAGGCTGGCATCGGCGAAATCTTATAATCACTCGCATTTGGGTGTTTTTATTTTGTTTTGTTTTGTTTTTGGCAGCATCTCGCTTTTAATTGCCGCAATAATGAATGATTGCAAGTTCGTCGATTTTATTGCCTGAATGAAGAAACAGGTGTGGGGGAGAGAGGCCATGTCC